AACAAAGTAATAGGTAAAATAATAATGTCCGGGTCACTTATTTATGTTATTTTTAAATTCTAATAGAAATTGTAGATTCTAGTATAAATTGACAAAAAAATTGTACATTAATTGATAAAATTATAACAATTGTCTTTATTTTTTTATCCAGAAAAAAGTGTTTTATCTTTTATCTTTATCTAGGCAAATTTGTAGTTATCTTTGCGTAATACTGCATATGGATTTCCTCCCAGAAAAATTAGTACACTTAAAAATCTGAGCAAATCTTCTAATAGAAAAGTTGTTCACAGGTAAAAAAAAATAATAAACATCTTTGGAAAACTATAAGCTTCTTCACTCCATTCAAAATCTAAAAAAAACATCATTGTTCCTCTCAGAATCGAAAAGTAATTATTTTTTATGATTTTATATAAAAGAAAATATTTTTTGCGAATCATTTTTGTAGTATTAAAAAATGTATTTAATAATTTAAAGCAATTAGTGGGGGGAATTTTCAACACCTATATCAATTTTGCTTTTTAAAATTATTTTAAGTACTTTTTTCAGGGATTTTTTAATGATTTAAAGAGCTTTTTATGGATTATATGAGAACACAAATCTGATCTCTAAACATAAACCATAATATTACATCCGCATAATACTAAAATTTCAAATAGCTATGATTTCGAAACTAAGTCAGACCGCTCAATTCTAACTTCAATATCGTTCATAAATCGGCAATAGGTATAAACTATACATATAATCAAAATTAAAAAAAATTAAAAAATTTGCAAGTACCAGTAGCTAGATTTGTTGCACGTGATTTTTCACTTAAACGATTTTCGTCAAAATTTGATATTAAATTTCCTTTACAAAAATACAAACTACATAAAGCTCAATTTTTTTTTTCATCACAGAGTATGACATTAAATGAACCTCCTATTAAATTTTAAAGCATTTCTGTTTTGTCTAATAATTTTATCTACAGAGTACCTACTGAATATAAATTACACACAAAACTCAAAAATGGTTCAAATATTTCGAAAATATTACTATGTCTAGAAAAGGCAAATACAAGTTTTATGTCATAATTTTAAGTCTTTATCAATATATTAAACTAAATGACATTATAAAAAAAAAAAAAATTAATATAGTAAAAGCGTATAAATATATTAATAAAATTTTGTATATATAAATAATATAAACAATGAATGAATGCATCACCTGTAGTATTATGATAGATGTATTATACGACCAATTCAAATTAAAAATTCCTCATCAGATCAAAGATCATCACAGACAAAATGTAAAACGCGACTCTTGAGTACAAAATACATTAGATATCAAAAAAAACGACTTCCTCTGCAAATAATGAAATATTATAAGGAACAAAATTATTGATCTCTTGTAATTTTTAGATTGGACCAATATTTCTGGTAGAAAACATCATGTTAAAATAATAAAATCAATAAAAACTGTATCGTCGCGGTGTGCTGTAAATATTGACCGTTTATCTATAATTTTCTTATGCTATACTGCTATACTTCGGAGTAGTCTAGTGCACATCGCCGCCATGCCTCCGAACACACACCACTCATCCTCAAAATTCAAGCAAATGTTGACATTTACCCATTCATAAAAAACGTACAGACTGGAATAAATTTCGAATAAACTCCAGTAATTTGATCACTTCCGAAATAGGAGAGCTCATTTCTTAAAAACATTGTGCTCGAAATACCTGACAACGAATTCACTACCCGATTGACAAACAAAGGTACAATTATTTTTTCTACTCGAGTCAACTCTTAAGAATCATGAAAATCAACTTTACACCTCCCATAGTCAATCCCTATCACTCTTAAATAGGTCTCTCTAGAGAAAAACCAAATTTCTTTTAAAGCAAAAATCTACCATTCCCCCTCTACGCTACCAAAACAATAATCTTGCTACCACTGACCAAGATAAGTCAGAGCTACTGGCTAACCACCGTGCAAATACATTTAAACCTCACAATATTTCCCTTAATGCAACTCCCATTCTTCAAATTGATCAATTCATCTCATCACTTCTGCCCATAGCACTACCACCCTCGCCTATCCACTCCTGGCGAAGTCCTATCAATTATTAAAAATCTTAAGAATAATAAGTCACCTGGTCATGATCTCATAAACAACAAAACATTCAAAAACTTACCACCAAAAACCATCATTCTACCTATAAAGGAATTTTCTTTGGTACCCCAAACGTACTGGTTTTTAAACCTTTATTAGAGCAGTTAGATAAACAACACGACATGATTTATCATGTAAAACACAATACCTATTATAATGTAAAATTACTTTTGAACGTGCATAAATATTTTTTTTTCATAACACTATAAAAATAATAATTATATCCTAGGTTTGCATATAGTTGTAGCTTTAGTCGTGACCGTAATGATTTTGTGCTTTTAAAATAGGCCGGAACATAATAATTTCATATTATATTGTAATAATATAATATTATTTTCACGAACAGAGAGCGCACTAAGTTAGTTAAGCAGCTGTTTCTGAGAGCAATTTCAATTGCCATGTGATAACGCTTATAACATGGTCCGTTTGGCCACCATTAAAATATCTTTAATCGTGGACTGGAGCTGGAAAACGTAATCAATGGTATTTATCGAACCAAAGATTAAACACCATTTGTTATGAAATGTTTAAAATGTGTAACTCTTCTCTCGACTTTTCTTTGTTATTTGTTTCATACTAGTAATTAATGTAAATACAACAAACAAAGATAAACAAAGAAATGGCATAATATTATCTTATATTAAAAAAAAAAATCAAAACATTGCACACGCCAAAGCAGTAATAATAAGGTAAGTGGTCTTTAACTAAGTGAAATAAGTTTTGAACATTGGTATTCAAAGTAAATAATTAAATATTTTTTCTAAAAATGGTACCTAATTATATTAATGTGTACCAGATACTTCCAATAAAATGTTTTTATAAACTGTATGATTTAAAAATTGAATGTATAAGTATTGTTAATATTTGTACTAATATTTTCTAAAATTACTTATGTATAACTAGATTAACTGATAATTATACTAATTTATATACCTACTCTAAATTCTTACTAATAAGTAATATTACTCCCTTGTTCTGCATTTCATCACAGGGCACAAATTATTTAAAAAATTCTCCTATCTCAAGGGCAATGCCTTTGTGTAACAAACATTCAACTAATGTTGATATGTTGATTTATTTCTTTTATCATTATATCAGATTCTGAACCTACACATAAATACCTACTATTATATAATACTGGGTAAAATATTTGATTTTTCTTATTGTATTCTTATCAATCTAATATGTTTACACTTTATTGTTACCTATATATTTCTCAATTTATATAATATTGTGAGTTTTAATCTGTGCCATTCAGCTTCTACCTATTTTATTCACTTGAATAAATATTATTATTCATACTATTTAATTTATCTTATTTATTATTTGCATAGTTTATATTTAGTTGATAAAATACTTTTATTGAAATAAAACTTTTTTATTACTTATTTTTGATAATATTCCCCTCATTCCCTTACTTATTCTATAATGTTATAAAAACTAAATATTTAAATACACCAATAGGCAATACTGACTCTTATATACTTTATTTATATCTTCCTATTTTAAAATACCAAATTAAAGCTAAATGGTCATTTATACTAAAACTATTTATAAATATTACCCAATTACCCAACATTTAATGCTTATTAGTTATTACATTGATTATTATATTATTTTTCTTAACATATAAAAGCAACTAACTGAAAAATACATAGCTTATTATATTATATTATATTATAATATATTAGCATACTTTGCTTCTAATAATATTTGTATTGCTTAATGTGCAGTGCTTATTTATGTAATTATGCTTTCCAGAATGAAATTAGTGGTATTGAGAGTACTTTGCAAAATAGTGATGAGCTAGAATCCAATAATAATACTGTTAGTAATAGTGATAGTGAATCATGATATAGAGGTAATGAATTGGAAATTGATTGGCTTTTAACTTATTTTAATTTTCTGAAAATGAAGCATGAAAGACAGGAAACTATAATAGACTATAAGTGCATAGTATGTGCAATTTATAAAGAATTTGAATCTGATGTTTCAAAGTATTCAAAAAATGTAATTATTCAATATCTGGAGGTATTCAAATTGAGAGTACACAAAAACTGAAGATAGTAATATCGATCATTTAGACTTCAACGCGGGTCTGATATGTTTACCCGATACCATTTATCCAACAATACATTTGCCCCACAATATAAAATTTTATTATAAATAAATCTGTGTCAAAAATTATTCAAAAATTCAATAAAATATTACATTATTTACTACTCAATGTTATATTCAAAATTAATGTTTATATGTGCAATTTTCCAGTTAATTAAAAAATAATTCAAATTGAATAAAACGGAATAAAATCAAAAAAATAATAATTTAGCAATTCAGTTTGTTACCGACAACGCAATAACATTTTATTTAATATTTAGTTTATTACATTATATAGAGTCTATTTATAATACTTAGTACCTTTTCACACTGAACGATATTATCGGTGACAAAATATTCATGTGACTTTGGTCTTTTTGAATTGAATTGAATAATGTATATTAATATTACGTAGGTACAGTAAAAATATGTAAAATATTTTGTCAGGGAAATGTAGTGCGGGTAAATGTACTGTCGGGCTAATAATATCGGGCAATTTAATGTCGGAAAAATGTACTAATTCCCTCCAAAACACATATTGTTTTGTTGCCTTAGAGTTAAAGAAAGCCAAGGAAGCATGGATTACGTAAAATGAAAATCATCCATGGGTTAAAGTTTTTAAAAAACCACTAATGTCAAGTTGTTGTTAATTTATTGCATTATGTATAAATGTTTATAATGATAGTTTGCTAGAAATCCTATGTGTCAGGGTCATGTCCCAAAGTTAAAAAAAATTGAAGTGCTCCATTATAGAGTTTTAATACATCTGCTTCAGATTTGCATTATAGATATCCAGTAATTTATGCTGAAATGCTACAAATAATTAGTATGCTAGAGAAGAAAAAATTATCCAAAAACATGTTAAGTGTTATTTGTTACGCTATTCAAATTGAAGGTAGCGCTGATCGTACAAAAAAAGATAATAAATTTATTACTGCAAGATACATAGCAAAAGACAATCCGACAGAAATGGTTACAATATTCTTAGGTGTTGTATCACCCGACAATTATAGAGCAAAAGGTCTGTTAACTGCTATAACAATTATTTTAAAACAATTTAGTATTTCTATAGAAAACTTAGTTATGGTAACTACTGATGGGGAAGCTGCTAATACAGGGAAGAACTCTGGTTAATGGAAAATTGCACAAGATCATCTAGGACATAAGTAATTAACAGTTTGGTGTGCTTGCTATGAGTTTAGATTTAGCTATTGAAGCAGTCATTTCAAATGTAATGAAATGAAAATATGGTTAAAAATTTAACAAACATACCCTCATATTTTCACAGTGTGCCTTTACAAACCAAACTTTTAATGGGAACATTTGGAGAATCAAAGAAGTTTGTTACATTTCCGAAATATTTAAAGTTCGATTTGCTGAGTATACTAGGACCACAATAGTGTCAATTTTAAATAGTTTTCTGGAATTTAAATTATCTGGAAGACATCTCGGATGAAAATAAAAAGTTCACTAAAACTAATAAAAAAAAAATAGTAAGAGGAATGTTAAAAACACGGAATGAAGAAACCTTATAATTTAAAATTACAGTTATCATGGCTGATATTACTCTAATAATGCAGTTTTTACAACAAACATTTCAAATGACTAATTTGATTACACCTGATGTTTTTACATATAGAGATTCTGCTATTCGAAAGTTGGATTTAATACTCGAGAGACCTTTAAAACTTTGGATATACTCTGTATATCAAGAGCAACACAACATAAACATAGATAAAAATAAAATGAAATTAATTTAACTGGTTAATAATATTATGACTATTTAGAACTAGAAGATTATATTCTTGGTAACTATTTAAGACTCATGATTATAAGGAACTTATAGATTAATATTCAAGTTTTGTATCCATTCAATCGTATCTTTGGTGACTGCGTGTATTTAATTTAATGAGTCTTTGAATACACATACTGGAGTACAAGACATTGAGTTTGTATACGGTAAATTATCTGATATTCAAATCCACAGTCGTAAGAAGGATTATCATGTAATTTCCATTAGTGCATCAGATAGTTACATCTCTCATGACAAGTTCGCAGACGGTTTAAAGTGACCCAATATTTTCTCGGCGAATCAAAACCCAGATGTTTAATTATTGGATTGGTTATAAGGTCCGAAAACCATTCATAATGCCATTTATTAATACCTTCGAAATTTTCCCGTAAGTTTGTTTGCGGTAATCTATGGTGGTTTTCTTGATTTGAGTCGGAGTATCTCGCTGCTTGTGTTCAAGTCCATATGTATTGGTAAGTTCGGGTTTTTAGCTACCTTAATCCATTCACGAATGAGAGCCTACTCCCTTTAGACCTTTGGAGGAGAGATGTTGCTTAGTATCGGTAGCCATTTTGCAGAGGTAGATTTTCATGTCCCCTCCCCGTAATTCTTATTGCCGAGTTAGCTGAGTATACAGTTTATCAGTATGTATACTATTGATCTGGAAGACAGTACATGCTGCCGGTGGTAGTAAATCTTTAGTCGTAAGCCGTTACCGAACATACATTGCTCGGGATACACTGCTAGGAAGCGATTTATCGTTGTACTCCATTAAATGTACTTCAATCAAATAAAAACAGATCGTAAATTAAATATACTAGAAGAAACAATAAAAAATTGTATATTTGTTTTATTTAATAGAGTGTACGACAAACTATGACCCTCGACCTACTGCAATAGAATTTTTAAACAAAAAAGAACGGCGTTACCGAGAATCAGTTATTGTTTACAAACATAGGGATTTTTTGGAAAAATATTTTAGGTTAAAATAATGATTTTATTTAAACTGTTTTATTATTACTAATTAACATATAATGTAATTTGATTAAAGAAGCAATATTTTGTTTTTAAATTTTAAATATTTAAAAAAATTGTAATAACTACGTACTGAATATTACCTATTTAATATATACAAAAATTTCATAAACTCTACGAGTATGTAAGTGAAAGATAAAGGTTCTTGCAATCGACTTTGTAGATTGATGAATTTTGGTATCCCTCCCCAAACTAGCATAGATATAACTAAAATGACGCCTGGACACGCAGTGAATAACCACTAAAAAATGTCCTGCGCCTTGATGCCTACTATTTACTAAAGTCGAGTTCAAATGGAGTGAGCTTTACCTTTCTATATTTCATGAATAAAACAACAATTAAATATAACGGAAAATATTATTTATTATTAACACAGATGGCCAACTTTAAATTGTTATTTGTAATATCTTGTATAAAGTGTAAAGTTTTACGTAAAAATAAGAAGTAAAAACTTTGTTTCGATTTTTGAATAACATTATTTGTAATTATGTTTCACAGTTACGCTTAATGTTTATTAATTATTCTTAATCATTAATTATGGTCAATGATATATTATATTTAATAATATTCGATTTTATTTTCATTTTTCATTAATTTTCCGTTTATTGTTTCGTCAATTTATTTTTCATTATAACGCTTATAAATAACGTTTTGAAACCCTGAAAAATAATAAGAAGAAACCATATTTTTAAGAATTATATAAAATGTTATCAAAATATATCAATTCAGTGAAATAATTGCACATCAAATTATTTAATGATTTCAGGGTTGAAGTGTTGTATTATTCCTCTATATTCAACAAACTATTAAACTTTGGAAGATGAATAGAGATTCCCGAGTGATTATTGTGGACTCTAGATTGGCTAAAAAACAATCCCGTAAGTATTTTGTATGCATTATATGGGGTATGGTATACTAGTAATGGGCACTATCAAATGGTACTATTCGAAATATTCAATAACCCGGCAACAATCAAACTATTTTATTGTATTTCAAATATTCAATATTACCAAATAATTTTGAATTATTTTATTATTCGATAGTTTCGAATTATTCAATTATAATATATTCTATGAAGAAGTCCAAAGTACAAATATTTTGCTAGCTACCTACTTTTTTGCTGTTTCCGAAATACTACCAAAAGCAGCTGGTGTTGTATTTTGCATGTAGTAAAATGGATACAGTCGATTGCGTCCCAAAGTCAGGTGAACGAAAAATAGAGTATGTCTATTGCGTCCGGCAAAATTTTGTTTGAGTTCTTTTTAACACTTTTTACCATTCTCGAATTTCGATTGCGTCCGGTTATAACAGGTGTGCATTCGATTGTGTCCTAAATGTAAAATCGAGAATTTCGATACCAGACAGAACGCGATTGTAGGTACACGAACATTTAACTCTAAATAAGTGCGAACCGCACCGATTATTATCGCTTTACACTTCGTAATATCAAATTGATTTTTATGTGTAGAGAAAAAAAAATATATATAATATTATTATTTATTAGTCATTAGCCATACAATAACTAAGCATTACAAAAATGTTTATTATTAAAATAGTCATTTTTTTTAACTGTACATACTACAGAATTGCACAATTTACAAATATAGTCAAGATCTTATTTGTTATTATAATTTATTATTTAAATTAATAGCTTTTAAACTTTTAATATAATCTAAATGAGGCATAATTGTTTTATTAAAATTTTAAAATTGATTTGTTAAAATTAAAAATATTATAGATACCACATGCAGTATAGTATTAATCCTTGTATTATAAAATAACAGTAAATAATACGACCGAATACAATCGGAATAGAAAATTTCGGATGTATTCTCGATCATTTGGAACTCAAATGGATTCTACTGGACGCAATTTAAATTCTCAATTTTACAATTGGAACGCAATCGGATGCATACCTGTTAAAGCCAGACACAATCGAAACTAGAAAAAAATTTAAAAGGTTAAAACTAGACGCAATCGGACGACGCCCGTAGTAAAATTACTAATATATAGGTGATTTCTCAGAAACCCGTGCAATGAATACAACCTTTGACCATCGGTAGGTTTACCTATTTAAATGGTTATTCGGTTATTCGGTATATTCGAATAGTTTTCCTCGAACAAAACTATACGATCGCAGGAAAAATATTCTATAGTTCATTGAAACTATTAAAAACTATCGATCGTATAAACTATTCGATAGTGTCCATCATTATGGTATACTATGGTTGAAGTACCGACAGGTCAAAACATCGACCAACATGTGTTGAATAACATATATTTTAATAACATAACATTATACCTACTATGAACAAATCTGTTCATATAACATACCTATATGATATATCTATATCTATATTAATGTTGTCCATGAATTTAATGACTTGTACGTATGAAAAAAAACTAATAAAATGTAATAGTATACATTTTTAACGTAATCTTAAAATTTTTTTAATTACAACTTACAACACAGCATCAGCACGATAACAAGAACTGCATTCAAATTATAAACTGTTACAGTGCTCAAAGATAGTTTTATAGACCAGATTTTTTTTTTATTGGCTGTAGAAATTGTATCCTAATTGCTACGTTATTAACTAATAGGCGTGTTTTGGTGATCCGGATTGTTAAATGATTGCAGGGACAAAACCGAGGGGGGGAGGGGGTAAAGGTTATAATCCCCTACCCAGAAATTTCAGATTTTTTTAACGAATCTTACGTAATAGTTTGTAATTCCTAGATAGCAGTAATCCCTAAATCTAGAATTAAGTACCAGATTTTTATTACCTACGCGCTTTTAAATTAAAAATCTAGCACGCATTGAAGAAGTTATAATTTGTATTGACATTTTGTATTGTTAATAAAAAATCTCCAAATTGTTTACATCGTACAATTACAAGTATGGCAATTTTTCGTCTTACTGTAATTTGTTTAAAATGTTTTTCTAGATTTTCAATACATTTTCTGAAGAATATTAAACAATTGACAACAAATAATCTGGTTTTCTTTTGTTGATTTTTAGATTATCTTGACCGCTGAAGAAAAAACCATTAATATCTTATCAGATTACTGAGCTCAATTAGTAATCATTTTTTTGATTTTAATGATCTATCGTTGTTCTTACACTAAATTACTATACTTCCTATACTTCTAAACTTCCCACTGGCCTAGTCATAGCGTAAAGTTTGTTATGCGTATTTTTCTATTATTATTTAACTAATAAAAGTATATTTATGTATTTTATATCATAAATGTTCTAATATTTTATGAATTGAGATCATTTAATTTATTTTTTCGGAAAACATAAACCATTTTCAATAGTTCACCTTCTATAGATTTTTTCTATTGTTTTATTTTTGTTTATTTCTGAATTGCCTTGGCATTAGGGGAAAAAACGTTATTATTATACTACATCACTGATCCGTTGAGAATCCTTGTTCGTTTGTTATGAATTAATGCTGCTTTGAGTATGTAGACTAAATTGGGCTAGTATCCTATACCTTTCCAACTACCCACCTTTAACAGTAGCTTATCTGTGAAATGTTATAACTTTTTAAGATGTATAACCCCCCCCCCCCCCCCTTCACCAGAGAGTAAGCACCAGTTGCATGACTTAACAATATTGCAGTAAACAGTATCACCAAAACAGTTTGTTTGCTAAACAAGCAACCAAGTTGCTCAAAACTTCATCGCCAAAACTCGTCTAATTTTGGCTATCTATCCACCTTATAATAACAGTGCAATATCATGTTATAAAATATATTGGTATGTATCTAATTTTATAATTTTCCGCCGAGTATCGACATTTTAACCTGTCAATATTTTATATACTTTTTTCCGTTTCAATCGTGTTTTACCTGTCGACATTTCAATAAACGACGTTTCAACTGGCAATTTATATAGAATGAATGTATGAATATATTATTTTAACTTGATTTTTAATACGTTTAATTAAGGGTCGATGAAATGTTCGAGCGTATTAAATTGGATGGTTCTATTTGGATTTATGGTCAATTATATGTTACGAGTAAATATGAGTATTGTTATTGTTGAAATGGAGTCTAACAATAATCATCACAATGTTACGACATTTTCATCAAATAGTACAGCAGTAAGTGTATGGTTATTCTTATTAAATTTAATACATCAGGACAGTCAGAACCTTATACAATACAAGATAATATGGTGTACATAAAAGAGTGGTATTTAGTTATATAAGTGATTTTTTTTTTTTCAGTTTTTACACCTCTAAGTGGTTCCAATATGTATATAAATATGAAAAATAAATTGTAAACAATTGTATGCCGATTGGTTAAGTTCAACCCGTGCCTCCCCAGTCTTAAATTTTTGGAACCCGTTTTTCTTCAAAAACCCGGTGTTTTTTTTAGTTTTTGATATATATATCTGATATCGTTACAAAAATTGTTTATAAAAATATATATTTAAAATTATTTATAAAACAAAAAATTTATATAATAATTTTTATTTTTTTTTTTTTTTTTTTTTTGAAATATTTGGTTATGAAATATATAAATTCATAAATAACATCATTAAAACAATATTTATTTCAAATAAACTAACATAATATAATAGGTATATTATGTGCTTATAAGATTTAGGAATATTTTTGGAAATACACCTTCTTTCTTTATTATTCATATTACTCTAATATAATCCCATTTTAATGGCATATAACCGATAAAGGTCAAAATCTATGTGGTGAAATGATTTTTGTTTCTGCGAAATTAGATTAGCTGGTTTAATTTGTGTCGTGTTATTGAAAGAAGTCTGTATGATAATATGTGGATTTAGAAATTTCCGTGGAAATCTGTGTTTCTTTACCGTTAAATATTATTTTTTTTAATATAATACGTGTTAATTGTATTCGTGGTCAGCATTCTGGTTTATTATGTGTCATACTAAATAAATATTTTGTAGTTTTCTCTCTTGTATTCCATAACGATTTACAGTATTGTAAAGAGTACCTATTTTTGAATTCGAAAAACGTATTAAATGTGTGAAAAAGTATTCAGTATAAATTTTCAAATATTTTAAAATATATACTTTTTGATTATTTTTGTTTTTCTGTTTCTGTTACTGGTATTTTTTTTTAGTATATTTTTGTTATTTCTAATTAATTTAGTGACTTTATTTCTGAAGTTATTATAATATTTTTAGATGGTTTTTAGATGATTTTTATATGGTTTTACAAAGATGTTTTTTTTTCTGTGCGCAACTTTTCTACCAGAAGACTTGCTCAAATTTCTACATGGTAGTACCTTTTCTGAAAGTGTAGGGAGCTACTTTAAGAATGTCATTTTTCGATTTTCTCAGAAGTTTGAAATGTGAAAAACCGGGAAAAAATCATGGAAAAAAAGGAAAACGTAGGAAAACCGGGAAAATCTGTAAAACATTAATACAATATTATTAAAGAAAATATATAAAGCCTATTTAATTATTTAACTATAATATGGCATTTATATTGTTGACAAAGTATCATCCATCTATAACTGCATCCGTTTCCATTATTCTAGGACATCTTTTTTAACTTGTTATTAGTGGTGTATGTTTTTTATTTAACGTTTACTTACTTTGTTTTTTTTAGTTCTGTTATAGGTGATTTGATTTTCTTCGATTTTAAGAAAATCATAATATCAGCAGGGATCAATTTTTTTTTTTAACAAAAAAAGTTATTTAGTGTATTAATAAAATATATTGTAGAGTTAACGACATCAGTTTATTCTAATATAAAATTGGATATTAGGTTTATTATTTCTATCACTTATTAAATTTTCAATACTAATAAATATTGGATTATTATCAGACATTTCAATTAGACTAACTATTGACTTTTTGAATTTTACTTTTCATAAATATATGATCGTGGCAAGAGTTAAACGCGAGCCTAGTGATATTATCAATAATTTTAATATATCCAAATTCTGGCAGGAAATCGATGTATTTATTATTATTTAATGTAGTATGTACGTAGTATGTTTATACTTATATCACCATTGAATAAAAAAATATTAATAATAACGTTTTATTAATCTGTATACTTATATAAAAATATTATAAATATTAATTTCATGTTATGTTATTTAATATGAATTCTTATATGTCTCAATTAAATATTTTTGAAAATATTATATAAATCAAACAATTAGCAGAACTATGTTTATAGTTTATAGTCAATTATATTTAAATTAAATAATTTTCAATACATATTTTTATATAAGATAATTTTAACGAGATATTAATTCAAAATTATGAAAAATACTTTCAAAAATTAAAGTAGAATAGAAAAATAGAAAACTATATTGTTTGAACAAAAACGTGTTTTAGAATTTTAAGGGTTAGAGGCATGAGTTAAGCTTAACAAATTGGTATATAACTTGGTACACTTAATTTGTATACATATTGGAATCGAATTAGAGGATAAGACTTAAAAAAAAAAATCAAATTTAAAAAAATAGGGCCACCCTAATATGTATAGATGAATAGATGAATACCTAGGTACTTATTTAAATTAAAATCGTCAACAATAAAAACTCAAACTTAGAAATGGAATATCTCGTCAACAGATTGACTGCTTGTTTCTTAAATCTTCTAGAAAACAAATTCCGAAAAAAGTTAATATTTTCCGAGATAATAAGTGTACCGTACCCACTAAACTCGGTATTTTGACAAAGCATCACTATCAACTGAACTCCATTAATAAATTTTTGCATGTAATGGTTTATCATTGCTTACAGGTATACATTAAATTACTCTAACTGTGGCTGCACCAGTCCCCATTATCCTAGGACGTCTTTTTCTATTTTATTCTAATGAACAATTTACTAGGGCCTATTGAGGGTCAGTTGACTAATGAAGTGAAAGACACTTTTATTAATCCATCACTGAATTAAAAATATTGCTACCCCATGATTTTACTTCAAATGTCACCTATGTATTTAGTTTTATATCCATTTTCTATGTTTTCAATAAATTATTAATATGATATGTAAGTATGCATGTTTAAAATATTCTTAAAAAATAACCCGGCCAATAAATAAAGTCTTCATGATTAAATAACTTATACAATAAAAGTCTATTAGATCAGTGAAGTTATGGCATTTGAATATGTTTAAGTGGGTGAGTATTATTCATTGCTAAGTAAGGTATAAATGTTTTGTTCAACTGTTAATTTAATACAGTTTATTTTATTGCAATAAAGGTATTTTCAATACATTTAGTGTGTTTTTTAATGCAATAACCTATCTAGGACCACTGTTCTAGATATGTCATATTCATAAAATATTGTAATACCTATAATCAATATATGTAAATAAAATATCAATATACTTAATATAAAATCATATAAATATAAAATTTCTTTCAGATCACTGCGAAATCTAGCGGTATGGAGTTAGACTGGTCCGAATTTGACAAAAATTTGATATTGGGTAGCTTCTATTGGGGCTATATAATCACAGAATTGCCAGGGGGTTTGATGGCTGAAAAGGTTGGAACCCGACCAATTTTTGGTTACTCTATGCTGTTGGCCTCAATAGTTACACTGTTTACACCTATGGCAATGGACTTGGGTTTATATCCTCTATTATTTTGTAGAGCACTCTTGGGTTTAGCTTTAGTGAGTATTGTGTTTAATTTAAAATCGTCTACCTAAAAATTACAGGATTAATTTTTTTTTTTAGAAAGAAAATCCAGTTTAAAACCATATAAATGTATAATAAACTCATCTATATCCTTAACTATCTCATCATTTTTTCGTTTCAATCAATGTGACAATATACTTATCATCACAATTTTTTCTTTTTTCTTTTTCATTATCTTTATCCATTATACTTTGTCTATATTATGAACAATTAATTATTTCAAGGGAAAAGATAATAAAAATTTAAATTATTTGTTAATGAATAAAAGACGTTTTTTTTTCTGTCTATTAACAATATTTCTACCAGAAATCTTATTCCAGTTCACAATTAAACTTACTTTTAATGAAACAATTTTAGTGATACAGCTCTGTGGTTTATTTACCAAATAACCCCAAAAGCAGATATTATCACTTTGGTTTTTTTGTTCCTTATATACTGTAAGATAAGTAGTAAAATTACGATAAATTCTTCCAGTCAATGTGTATTTTAAATCATAAATAATAATAAGTATGATACTAAATAAAATTAAGTTTTTGTAATAAATTTTGGTTCTTGTATTTTAGGGAGTAACATACCCAGCTATACAACCAATTGCAGTAAATTGGATCCCACCAAATGAACGTGGCAAGTTTATAGCAAATATGATGGGTAAATACTCATTAACAACTCATATTATTTTTTAAATGAAGTTTACAAATTTGCTTAAAAAATAAAATAAAAATAAAAATTGTAATAATACTTTAAAATAATAAAAACTATGATAGAATAAATATTCATAGAACAATATTATTCCGGATGATTAAGTTAAAAAAAGTTTTAAATTATTAGTGAACAGATCTCAATAAATTGATATAACTGGGATGATCCAGGCAAAATTTTCTTTGTTGAAGTTATCCACTTACTGTTATAAGTATACTTAAGTTTTACCACTCCTATTTATTGTAGACAAATACAAATGTGCATTGTACATGGGTTAAGTTCAGTTAAGTTGGGTATAAATAATATTCATCATAAACTCAAAAAAACGTTTAGTTTTCTGTGAGTTTGCTTTTACCTTAATTTAAATAAATATAACAATTTGAATTTGTAATTTTTCAGCAACTAATCTTGGTGCAGGTTTTACTATACTGGCGTGTGGTTTTATTATACCTATATTGCAATGGAAATCTGTGTTCTACATCAGTGGCCTGGTAGGTGTAGTATGGTCTGTGTTTTGGTTTTGTTTAATTTTTGAGACTCCTGCTCAACATCCAAGAATAACTGAATCTGAAAGAGATTACATCGAATCTCAAATCGCTGAGCAAAGCAGTTCTCCTATTAAGGTACCTATAAAATATTTAGCCACACAATATTATATCTTACAAAATGTATGAGTGTCACTTTATTTATTTTCTCTGAAACTTTATACGATTATGTAATATTATGATTGGTAGTATAGCGGTAAACACGGTATAGTAAATTGTATATATTTATAGTATAGCGTAATTTGTTATTATATCCAGACACTTAAAGAAGTTTAATTATTCTAGTTGTACGGAAAGGCAATATGTAGGAAAAGACTAGTTTTGGGCGGCATGTTTTTAGTAAATAAATCTATAATTATTATAATTATTATTACCATTAGTTTTTAATAATGGTACTCTTTTAACCTGTACTTTTATTAAGTTTTCAGATTGAAACTATTTATCTGATATTTTTCATTTCCACAATAGATGATACAGCCGAAATTTCGGAAATTTATTATTTTCAAAAATTTTATTTTTTTCAAAAATTGCACACCATTTTGATCTTTGTAGCATATCTACAATATGTTTTAATATTGAGTATTAGTCATTTAAACACTATACGAAATCTTTTAAACTCAAACCATAATTAGGGTAGGTACTCATCTTACAATATTGGTAATTTTACATTCTGAACAAATTGTCTGTTATTTTTATCTGATTATCTGTAGATATACGTGACTACATCGATATGATTGAAAATCGTGTTAAACAATTGAAAATTAATTAAAAATAATATCATGTTCTTGGACTAATTTCAAATAACCCAATTCTTTGGTAACCAACTTTATTCAATCTGTTTTGAAAAATTGTTTATAATATACAAAAATTTTTAACATTAACTATAATAATTAGGCCCAGTAATAATATGATATAATGATGATCAATAATCATACCAATATACAGGCTGTTCTACGAAGTTATAAATATTTTTGGTCCTTTTTCCCGTGAGTAATATATAAAAAAAAAAAAAAAAAAAAACAGAAGTTTTATTATCTTTATTATCTCTGGAAACATTCATGGTGTAAATCGTAGTGGGACAGCCTGTATGTATATTAGTTAAAATAAAAAAAAAACAATCTTGCCATACATTTGTAAACATCTACCTACATTATTGTTGATTTCTTTATTTGTTAATTCAACTTAAGAACAAAACACAATGCAAGTACAAATTTTCTTCGTTTACCTAGATGGGTTTTATTAAAAAAAAAGTCTGTGCATTTACAAAATGTTTTGACATTATTATTAGCACTATAAATAATATCATAACATTTAGTAAGTTATTTTGATGGATTCCGTTTATCTATACTCTCTAACTGGTATTTATTGAATTGTTATAATTTTCGTTTTACACTATTTATTCTTGTTACCTACACATCAAATTTTGTCAAATAAATTGCTACTATAATTACTTTGAATTAAATTGGCAATTATTCGACGATATTTTGACAGGCTGATCGGCCAAAATAGAGGAGTGCTGGCCGAAAATGTTCGAAAATAAAATTGTTTAATATCATATTTAATAAAATCAATTATGATGGATGGATAGGGAACTATATGTTCATGTATTATATTTATTGTTCTGTTTACAGCCAAAGCAGATACCGTGGGCAAAAATATTTACGTCGTTGCCGGTTTGGGCCATTATAATTACACACGTAACCAGTGTCTTTGGTTACTTTACTATTAGTTTACAGTTGCCTATGTATATGAAATATGTACTTCATTACGAAATCAAAGCGGTATTTATATAGATATTTTAGTAATCTAGAAATTCGTTTGGTCATATTACACGCCAGGTATATACATAAAATAATCTAGGTATACCTATTATACCTGTAATGGTTGATGTTATTAAATCGGTTAATATATTTATATGTACTTTTTATATTTTAACCGATCGTGTGTTTTTAGTCTTATCAGAGTTTTTTAGAGTAGTTAATTAAAATATTAGAGTGTATTGTCTTATTATCAAACTTAAATATATAAGAACATTTGTAGTGTTTGTAGGTTGGATTTTTTCGACATTTTAATTGTTCAGCTAGATTTGATAATTTTTAAATTGTGACATTTCACATATTCGTAACTAAATAGAAAATAAAATATCGAACAAAAATTACCAAAGATAAATAGACAATGTTCTTATCTTTAAGTTTGATGATCGGCTAGTATACTCTAATATTAAAACTAACAGCAAAAAATCAGTTTTTATATAAAAACAAGTATTTATATATATATATATACATCACGATATAAATTGATTTCACAACATCACTATGACATACTCATTTCTGCTTCTATCAGTTTTTAAAAGTTTAATATGACCTTACATTGGGTATTTTATATTTTTGCATGTAATTTATGTTGGTATAGTATGGGTACATTTATTTTAAAAAACACCGGTTTATTATAAAGACATTCGTTTAAGATACCAGTATAAAATGTAAGTGCTATACTGATATTAATCTTTTGACCTACCTTCCTGTAAAATATCATAAAACTCTGTAGAAAAATGGTAGCATTAGAAGGATGTGATAAACGGATGGTCTGAAATGAAAAAATTATATGGGCTCTTTTATCTCCATTTTAGCTACGAAACACTGACATTGATGTTTTGTAACAAAACGTTAAGCAGTTTCTTAATAGAAACTAATTCAGTATACCGCTATTATTATGTACAAATAATTTGTGTATACCGGTATAAGAGCGAAAGAATTTCTAGAATAGTACAATTGATTTATTCCTTTTTGACATGTTACTTTATGAAATAATAAATTATATATTATATCAAATATTATTGATAAAATGTTTTTAGAACGGATTGCTGTCCAGTCTACCGTATTTTGGTAAATTTTTCATGGCGTTCTTTGTTGGAATAATTGCCGATCGCATTATCACTTATAGAAAAATGAGCAAAACTACAACAAGAAAATTATTCACTTCAATTGGTAAATTGATTCTATATAAAATAATATCACGATTAAATTTTTGAATGGTTATCATTTGATCGAAATAATCCGAATTACATATTGTTTGGGAGAATTTTACCTACTTAGCATTTAGACAAAATCTATGTTAGTACCAATATGTTTAAGTTTAATATATCATTTATGCGAGCGAAACATATTAAAATAAATGATGAGTAGGGCCTAAATTAATTTTTTTTATATCATTTTAAATTCTCCAAATATATGTTACTTTGATTTTATCTATGAGAAATGAACGTTAGTTCAATCGAGTCAATTGTCATAATTTATTAATGTAGCAAATTTATTCATGTTGATAAGCTTGAAATGTATATAGGCTGTCCCACGAAGATAAAACCCCTTAAATATCTCCGGAGATAATAAAGATAATCAAATTCTTTTGTTTTATATTGCTCACAGGGATGAGGACTCCAATTATTTAATACTTATATGTATATTTGTCCGGTGATATTCGAGGAGTTAAAATATTTACAGGTGGTATTCTAAAATGTCAAATAATTCTTCCAGTTAAACAAAACCGTGCAAATATATGCAATTAAAAGTTACATATTTCAAAAAAATAAAAAAAAAAACTCTAATGCCTGATAATATTATGCTAATAAGAAGTATAAGCGTATATAATTATAGAAAATAAGAAAAATTAATTATGAAACTAGTTGTTTTAATTACATGATTTTTTTATTAAATATATAACTTATTTAAATTTTAAACACTGTAAAATATTCTTTACCTTATCGGCTTTTAGATGATACTAGAAGCGTTGAAAAATTAAAAAAAGAACATTAGAAATTCAATTACACGATAGTGTGATGTGCATCGTATAAACAGAGAATTTAAAATAAATCTATATTAATTATACATTCAATTGTCTTTTGATGAGCTTTTAAAACAGAAAAATCGTCAAATACCTCAACAATATTATGCATAGAATGTACTCAAACATAATCTACTATAAAATCTACGTAAATTTGTATTTTTTTTTTCATTTTCATCTATTTTTATTAATATCTGGCCCACTATGTTACACCGGGTTACTACGCAGATTCTCCGCGTCCGTTATAGACGGGTTAAAATACCTATCTTTTTTCGGGAATTTTTTTATTTTGTCCTTGAGGACAAATTTCATATTTATATTTATTACCTAGTTTATTTCTATAAATATTATAGGAACTCTACAAAAGAGGATTTTATAACATTTCATTAAACTGCATTTTTTTTATGACTTTGATGTTCCATAACCATTTCTTTTAGATTCTGAGTGGAGCCAAGAAGCCTATATTATTACAAAGATTTTTTTTTTTGTGGACAACTTTTTTACCAGCAATTTTGCTCTGATTTAAAATTAAATCAATTTTTAAATTGAAGTTCAATGCGAGCTATTGAATGATGTTTTTAGTAAATTAATAACCAAATATTATATTAAGAATAAGTTTTTTTCTATTCCCATAAAGTAATTTTCGTCAGTAAAAACGGCTACATGCCTCTCCCTAAATGAATATTAGGTAGATCAGTGGACAAATTATATCTTTAAGGTGGTTATTGAAATTTTAAAAATCATTTTTACATTTTAAAAAATTGGTGTAAATTTGAAAAACCGACACAAGCCTTTCTTAAGTTTTTTTGTTTATACCGTTCTAAAAACTTTCTTATTTATATTAGTATATATTATTATTATACATATTTACAGGAGTATTTTCACCGGGTATTTTGATGATCGCACAAGTGTATTATGGAGAGAACCAGTTATGGTCAGTGCTTATATTCGTTTTTGCGTTAACTTTGAACGGTGCAGTCAGTGGAGGTTATTTGGGAAGTGCTTTAGACATAGCTCCGAATTTCTCGGGTATTGTAATTATTATCATTTATAATTTTATCTTTCGATATTATTTTACTAAATAAATTTGAATTATATGATACATTTCAGGTATAATATTTGGAATTGCAAATACTCTACCCTCGTTCGGAGGATTCCTATCTACGTACATTGTGGGAGAACTTACAAACAACAATGTTAGTATATATTATTAGAGCTTTCTATTTCACATATACACGTTTTCACGTATTTGCGTTAAGTTAACATTTAAATATATAAAACTCCGTACTTGAAAAATCCGTGTACACGTATTCACGTACTGTATACTTATAATATCATGCCTAGTTTACACAATGCGTAGTACTTGTCATTAGTACTAGTTACTCGCACTACGGGTATTTGTCGTTAGTAAATTGAACGGATATATATTCACTCGCACTTTCAGTTTTATTAATGCTTAGAAATATTTGTATTGTTTATGCCTAGTTTACATTCTTAGATACTTAGTTAGATACTTAGATACTTACCTAGACACTTAGTACTAATTATTAAGTATTATTAATATGAATAATAACTCAAATGTATAAATTAATATTTATTGATAACGGTAAAAGTCGGAAAGAAGTTGTACATAAATATTGTCTACGAGACAAACAACGATGCACAGTCCCCATCAATCGTAATATGATATGCTATAATAATGTAATATTTGTAAATATTTGCAATTCGCTTCCATACCTAGCGTGTAAACAATATAAATAGTACTAAGCATTAGATAAACTGGGAGTGCAAGTGAATAGAAATCCGTTCTTTTTAAGTAGTTACCCGTAGTGCAAGTGACTAAAACTAATGACAAGTACTATGCAACATGTAAACTAGGCATTATATGCAAGGTGAGAGTGTGAGTGACAAGAATTAATGATTAGTACTAAGCATCGCGTAAACTAGGCATTATGAATCAGTGGTGTATAGGTTTTTATTTCGGAGGGGCCAATAATTTATATCACTTTTTTGGGGGGAGGGGACACATTATTTGGACAAAAATTGCTTGAATGTTATAACTCCTTTCAACTGTTTTTTCGCCATCAGAGAAATGAAAAACTATTATTTTTTTAATGAACTGTAATATAAAAAATATAAAACTCTACATTGCAATAAAAAAAATTTATTAGAGTCACTTAAATTAAAATTGAACATATTATATTTTCATACAAGAAAAAACATACTTTATGTGTGTTTGTAATTTGTGTTCGTTTTACGTATAGTATACAATTCACGTATATTATGTACCGGAAGGGCGTAAGGCAGGAGCCCTGCGGTATGCCGGCTGTGATTAGTCTTTTTCGATAGCCCTCTGACCGACCTATCGAAAAGGTACGGTTCGAGGGAAATGAATAAGTTTTTTGTATTAGATTTGTTGGAATTATTAGTTTTTCCATTTTGTACAGAAGGTCGTCGTGCAAGACACGACCGAACACCCTTTCGAGTTTCCATGGAAACTGCTGCGTGTACAGAATTTTGTTACTGTTCCCCTATTCAGGCAGTCGACGAGGATGACCAGTTGTAGCGTTGTTGAGTGGCTGTGGCGAAAGTCGTGTTGTTCTGACCTGATTAGGTACAATGCTAATTTTTGGAGTTCAAATAATATTATTCTATAGATTACTTTCGATCCTTAGTGATCCTCTATCGGCGATTCACCCATATCTATACGTCTGCCCAGACAGAGGATCATTCACCATTGGTTGAAACTTTTCTGTTGAAAATAAATCACACATCGATCATCTGGGAGTGACTGTGTTTTTACCTCGTTATTTCAAATGAATCATACTCATCTAAAATCGCCTATTTACTATGACATCGCTATAACTGATATGTGCATTTACTTTATCAGATTACTTATTTATGTGTTTGCTCTAAAATGGGGTCTTTTAAGATATGCATGCGTTCCGTAACATAACAATTTTTATTAAATTTTCTTAAAAAATAACAGATTTTTATAGAAACATTTATTGCTTATTTCACTCTTTTAAGAGTGAGGATATTTTCAAAAATTATAATTATGCTAAATACCAATTTTTATGAATTTATCATAAAAAATGGTAGATTATTATACAAACATTCATGTCGTATTTTATCTTTTAATGATAGACATTTTCTAAAATCTTTTTTAATGAATGTCCTCAGTATAAAAAGTATGAAAGGTGCCTACTATAAAAGTTTTTTACTGTTAACGTTTTTACCCTAGTTGATAGATCAATGAGTGAGCCAATTTTATTCAGTTTTTCGTTTTATACCTACAGATTAAATGAAAAACGATTTCTTAAATAATAAACTTGTATTAAAATTATTATTAATCTTGACGAATATAACTGAAATATAGTTTCAATAAATCCTAAAATGTTAAAATAAATAAACATTGTTATTATTATTAAACACTCAATTTTAATTTTTACTTTTAATAATTATTTTGTATAAAACTATTAATTAAACATAATTGCATGATACCTATAATACATTTTATTTCAAATTTTAATTTGTTTTCTTAAAAATGTTGTTAAATTACGTTCAACACTTTACCAGGCAAACTGTATACACTTCTCATTTATAATAATATATGTATTCTTACAGCAAACATTTGGACAATGGAAAATTGTGTTTTGGATTTTGGCCATAACATATACAATTAGTGGTTTCGTATTTTTAATTTATGGCACAGCACAAACATTATCGTGGAATTCAATTCCTGTCAATGAGGAAACGAAGGATGTTCAACTTCCAAAAATAATGGTATATTAAAATCATTTTTATAACCTGGAATCTCGTCTTCTCAACAATAACAAAATATTTGATTGGTACACAGATTAAAGGTTTAAGTTAATTATTATTCTTCATTATTATATTTTTTATACCTTGATTTTTAGTTAAATGTCAAAATGTATAATTTTATAATTTAATGTATAATATACATAGGTTATTAGTATACAAAACATGAGCCCAATAAAATAACATTATTAATCAAATACTTTCAATTAGTGGATTTTGATGAAAATACATACTTATCAATAATTTAATTAGTGCTTATTGTATATTATTACCACAGTATATTAAAAGCCTATCCTTTTTAAAAATAAATTTTATATATAATATTGTTATTGTTATTTATTATTTCTTTATGTACGATAAAACGGTTCAGCACGATTGAGCAACACGATAATACGATTGAACTAACTATGAATTCAACAATTGTATCTGGATAAAAATAATTAGGACTAGAACGATCAAAAATTTCAAATAATTTCTAATATTCTGACAAGAACTAACTGCTAGTAATAACTTTTTATTTTTTCTCGTTAATGAAAAGTTCCGTCTTTTCTATTTTCGCTCATTTTAATGGTGAAAATGTAAAATATTTTTACAGAATTATAGTACAAAATCTGTTTTAATTGTAAAATAATAAGTATTTACTTATTTTTATAATATAACAATGTAATCTATTATGTGGATTTTATAATATTATCAGTTTATTACTATTGTCACTTATCAGTTATTACCATGTGGCATAAAATGCGATAAAAACAGTGAAACAAATATTTTTGGAACAAAAAATACCATGTTATCTATTGTTTACTCAACTAATAGATAGCACGATATTTGTTTATAACCAATATAGGTAATTTAAAATTGTAATCATGATTAACAGTATACTAATATTGATTAATGTTAATATAAAAATTAAAATACAATTTAATTTTAATCATATTAATAATTGCGGATTATTTTAGCCGGGCGTGGGCCAATTGGAACTATTTTAAAATTAAGGGGTGCACCCTGACGCTCCAAATGATGCTCCTGAATAGAACCGATAAAGTAATTAATAGTGCAGGATGATACATATAATCTAATGATTCGAGTGGTCACGTCCATGAACTTGGTGGTACCCATGTAACACCCCTAACTAAACACCTCGAGTTCGAATCGATTAAATTCGAAAATAGAACGACTCCTAAGATCTCCAACAAATAAGTACCAATTTTCTGACAACTTGTATGTTACATAATATATGTTTATAGAGGTGTACATTAAATAGTGGCAATAAATACAGTGTACGTTGGTCTATGATAGTGTATGACCATCGATTTTAAATACTATAATAGGTCAGTTTTTCAATGTCCTACAATATTTTACTTGATGTATGACGATAAAAACAAATAACATTAATAAATTCGTAATTTCCACCATATTTTATTCTATGAATTAACATTGTATACGGAAGAGGCAGGGTAGGCAGTTGCCTCCCCAGTGAGATCTGTGACCTATACAATTTTATTTATTCTCGTGAACTTAATTTCAGAAGTTATCTTAGATTATTAGTTTTTATAAATCAGTTTATTATCAAACATCAATGTTGAATAAAATAAGGTTAGATTAGGGTTGTAAAAGCTTTACTTTGATCAAAATTATAAGTGTAAAAAAAAGACTTCCTAGGATAATAGTGGCGTATGCAGCCACTGTTATAGGTAATTTAATATATACTTGTAAACAACAATAAACTGTCGAAAAAACGATTCTGAGTGGAGTTTAATTGAACATTTTTACAAGGCTCACATTTACACCAGGGATTAACACCATGCGTCATTAAAAGTAGTATTATCATACCGTAATTGAAAAGTGTCTAGAGTTTTGAGTGAAAAAGACGATTTACAACTAATTAGACACGAACAGAATAATATCATTGTCTGCATACCACCTAACTATTATTATTACTAATTAGAAATCGAAAATACTGTTTCAATATTCAACGAAGATAATTACCGTTTGTCACTAATGGTGACTGCATATTTTCGAGGCTCGCCAGACATTCGTATTATGTTTAATGTGAGACAATTTACAATGTTCAGTAAAATTCTATCGGTAGATAATAAACACGCGAGGTCACGATGTTAAATAAATAGATAGAATTAATGGATTTTAGGGATAATAAAAAAAAAACATATTTTCAATATTTGTATATAACATACGCACGTGCACACACACACACACACACTATATATAGATACATATAATATGTAAGAACCATACATTTGTAAATTATGTTGTGTCGTTATCTTATACGTCATTATAAATGAACAACGCACATAACACAGCATGACGTAACCATGTGAGAATCTCTTCTTTAGATACCTAATTTAAAAACAAATCTAACTATAACCGTAACGAGTATACCTACTTTACTTTTAAATGGAAGATAGATACAAAAATGTGTATCTCTATTATTATTATTATGATATACATTAGTCCAATATGTTCAAAATGATATGTTTAAATGTATATTGTAAATATATTTATTTAGTAGGTAAATAGCTATAATAATATATCAAATTGATCGTTTTTGACTGAAATGTAAATACCTACGTGTCATGCGCAATCATATACATTCATATAACAACAAGGGCATATTTCTGGGGGAGGGAGACGTAGGGGCGATCGATCCCCTGAGCCACTGTTTTAATTTAAAGATTACCGCATTGATATGTACTTATGATACACTGAGTGAACACCGAATAAAGTAAAATTATATTGAAGTTTTTCGACGTTGAGCAGCTTCTAATTATAAAAGTCTAAAAGTTAAAACAATATTCAAATAATATAATAATTGAAATATTTAGGTTAAATTTCCTGCTTTATTTGCTGTACATACTATAATGATTTATGCTTCGCTCCTCACATAAAAAGCTTAGTTAAAAAGTCAAATGAGCAACAAAGACTGACAGTTTGGAACTGTTACATAATCTAGAATTAGATGAATTGAAAATAAGAAATCGATTTGCAGAACACAAATACTTTAAAGAAATTGTTATATAAAATAAATATTAGATGGCACGTAGTTTTTAAAATTATGTAGGTAGATTAAAATTATTTATGCAGCAAAAATATGCTATTTTTACTTTCAAATTAAAACTTAATAAATTTATTTTTCATATATAATGCGTTTTTTTTTAAGTCCATATAAAAAAAAAACGAACATACTTCACACAATTGGTGGGCAAGACTTTAAGAAGTTATGAAAGTAGGGAGGAAATTTAATATACATTCATTCGCAACGATTAACGAGAAACGATTCTGAGCAGAGTTCAGTTTAATCAAGTTGCTTTATCAATAATATAAATTATGTCATATGATAGTAAAATAATTACGTGTTACATATGTTTTTCTTGTATGTACATATGGTTCTTCCCATGTTTTTTCCTGGTTTCTCCCATTAATTTGGAAAACTTCTGAGAAAATAAAAAAATAACATCCTCAAATTACCTCCTAATCAGATTTCCTTTCAGAAAAAGTGAAATACTTGAAAATCGGAGCACGATTTTTGGTAAAAAAGTTGTTCATGGATTACAAAAAAAAAATAGAAAAAAAATGGACATCATTGTAAAACCAATACATTTCTGGCTTAACTCTGAATCTAAAAAAAATTATAAAATTCAGCCCCTCCAATGAAATTAGGGTCTTGTATATTATTATCAACAAAAATTCTTGAATGCCTTCATATAGTATTTCAACAAATGTAAAATATCTGCCAATCAAACATTATTTGAAACTTCTACCAATATTTAAAGCAATTCATCCCTACTGATTTAACTATGATGTGTTTTAGATTCTGAGTAGAGTGAAGAAGCTTATGGTTTTACAAAGATGTTTATTTTTTTTTTTGTTCTGTGGACAACTTTACTACCAAAGATCTCGCTCCGATCTTTATGTTTAGCACCTTCTCTTGAAGGCAATCGGTGTTGAGAGTTACTTTACCTAGGTTATTTTTCGATTTTGTCAAGAGTTTTCTCATCAAATCCGAAAAACCAAAAAAATGGAAGAAAATATAAGAAATGTAGGTATTAGTTAAAAATATCACGGCTTTTTTTTTCCTGTTTATTAACTTTTCTACTAAAAAAAAAAAACTAGAAAAACGGGAAAATATAAAAAATATAAGTATATTCGTTTACATATATCGTGGCCTTTTTCCTGTGAACAATTTTTCTGCCAGCAATTATCAATTTTCCTCCAATTTATAATAATAGTAATGTTTCTAAAAGGAAATTCAACTGGAGAGGTATTTTTAGAGAGGTAATTTTTTGATATTCATAGAAGTTTTACAGGCAAATGTGAAAAATCGGGATAAAACATGAGAAAAGCCGGAAAACATAGGAAAACTGGGAAAATAGGTACAACATTAGACAAATATTATTAAAGAAATAATATAAAGCCTATTTAATTATTTTACTATAATATGGCATATATATTGTTGGCAAAGCATCACTATCAACTGAACTCCGTTCAGAATCGTTTTTTCGTAATCAATTATTTTGTCATTGCTTATAGGTATATATTAAATTACCTAGAACAGTGACTGCACCTGTCCCTATTATCGTAGGTTTTCTTTCTTTTTTTTTGGTGTTTATGAACGACTTTTCTACCAAAAATTTCGCTCCAATAAAAAAACTACAAGATACTTTTTTTGTTTAACGAAACATGCATAATAAAATAAAAATCTTTAAATTATATTTCGAAGTGAATAATAATTTTGATATGAGATTTCAATATCTAATAACTCGTATTATATGCAGTGTGTGGTCTGCATTTCTTTTTTATGTTTTCAATTAAATGGCTTATCGCTACAACCATTCATTTCCGTTCTTCACTTATCTCTTCAATTACTTAGCTTAGTGTGAACATTTAAAAAACCATTATTATTATTCATTGTTATCAATAGAAATAAAAAAAAAATAACCCAATACGAAATATAC